ACAATAAACTCAAACATCTGTATATTATTTCAAAATTAATCACATTTAACCTAATAATCTGAACTTCACCATTGTGTCTCTGTATTAAAAACAGTCCCCTGATACTAAAGGAATCTAGGATCAGTGGCAGTCCTGATTTCATCATTTGTGACCTTACTTGTGAGGAACCTTGAAAGTCTGCATATCTCCTGTATCTCCTTTTTCCCAGGAACCCCCGAAGGTTGAATTCCATATCTTAAATTCTCCTATGACCTCCCTTTCCTCAAATACCCTTAAGCCTCCAACAGAGCCTCAGTGCGCTTCCTGTACTATGAAATGCAGCAGCAATCCACATAACTTGTACAGTATGAAGTAGCGCCACAAACATTCTCTAAGTTCAATCTTGGTGAAGACAAAAGTCTGACTTTTGCCCTTCCACTTAGAAAAGAAACAAAACAAAAGGAAATAATACTTGGAATGAACAGAGGGTAATTATGACGGTAGTCTGTTGAAATTATGAACTTGGTTAAATTCAATACAACTTTATTAAGTTGTGGGCTCTGTTTTAGCTTTCTGTGTCTAGAAAACTGATGAAAGGAATAGTTTGACATTTTGAGAAATATACTCATTTCGCTCTTGGAAAATCAATACCAGTCTCATCTCTGTCTGCCAAATATAAGGCTACAGCCAGTTAGCCTAGCTTAGCACAAGGGCTGGAAACCGGGGGTGGGAAACAGCTTTCCTGGCTAAGTCAAAAGATGACAAAATCCACCTTGCTGTATCTTGGCTCCTTAGTCTATACAAAAACCTACCTGTAAAAACAACAGTTCAGTTATCTTCAGACAGAGGGAACCTAACTGTTCCCCAGCTTTTATCGTTTATGCTAAGCTAAGCTAACAGACAGCTGGATGTAGCTTCATATTTAACAGGCAGATATAAAAGTGGCATTGTCTTTTCATCTAATGCTCCGTTCTTTCAGACCATCTGACGGTAATGTATCAATTCCTGACTTCTATATGTACAGTACATGACAGAAAAGGCTGCATGTGTTTGTTTTGTTGCTTTAATTCAAATGTGTATGCTACAAGCTGTAATTGCACATGGTGACAAGTTTGTTGGTACCGAGACATTTAACTTGTTTTGGGACTGGACTCCGTCTTCTTTGTTCACATTATGACTGAAATGATGTTGCTGTTGAAAGTATGTTATGAAGCTGGACTGCAGAGACATTTTGCTGTTACCTATTTCCTCCATACTCATTAGCTGCCCTGTGGTGGTGTACACGGCGGTCTGAGCTGGAACTCCATGCTGGCATAGAAAGGACATGGTGAGAGTCTGCACCTCCATCAGGGTGGTGTTCTTACTCTCCACTGAGTTCAGGATCTTCAGGACGTACTTGGTACCTTCCTTGTCCGCCACAAGGAAGTTCTGGTCGATATAACTTGGCAGGGTGGTGATCTCAGTTACCGTCACTCTATACAGTTGCTGTGTCAGTTCGGTTGCCTGCTGCAGGGTGAGCGTTGGCCTTGGATTGACAGCTGTGGCAACAGTACAATCACAACACAGTTTTGCACAAATAAGTATACTTTCAGAGTGAGACAGTATTTGGATAGTTTCGCCAACTGTGACTTGTGAATCTGCTAAAGTTCACAGCAAAACCAGAAAGGCATTTTTAAGTTTGTCAGTCACAACGGATTCATGAAAAATGTATAAGGGGTAGAATGAAACCTTGTAGAGGCACATGCAAGTCTGACAGGACCCTTGGTATGTTGTGTAACAAACTCTCTACATTCTCAGAACGGCTCCACCTGACATCTAACTAAGCATAAACCAGAATAATTGAGACTTGCGTGGGTGTTGAGGACCTTTGTTTATTATTCCCTTTCCCAGTCAACAAAATGCAAATGGGACTTTGGATGCTGGTGTAACAGTCGTGCACTTCAGAGACACTGCTGCTATTAATAATAATAATAATAATAATGTAGTGCTTCATTCATTCAGAAAATGTTACCTATGAATATAATCCATCCAGCAATTACATCCAGCAATTACTAAAGACATCTAATATCTAATCTTGACTTTTGATATTATTGATACTAAAATGACTTAAATATGTGTTTACATGAATGGGGAATAGAAAGTTCCTTCAAATATGTAATTTCTCAGCCTTTGACAACATCTCACTGGACATTAATATTCTCAGCAAGACTCAGACCGCTGATTAGTAACTGTTTAATGTCGACTTCACACAAACACTGATTGCGAAACAGGGTGCCTCTGTTGAAAATAAATGCGCTGCAGCAGAATGCCCGTCAACAATAAAAAGAAATTCTCCTTATGCAGTACTCCAAAGATCAGGTTATAATAGGATAGAACAGTAGCCAGAAGCTCAACGTTAAGTATTACTGATACATAGATACACACACATATATATATATATATATATATATAAATATATAAATATGTATGTATATAAATTTTCCATTGATTTCACAGAAAACAAGGGCACTTACCCATTATCAGAAAATGAGAAGTAGAGGCTTGAAAAATACAGAGTGTGAAAGCAACAAGCTTTTGGACAGATTTACATCTGTGTGTTTGTGGAGAGGCCAGTAAAAACCAGATCTGCAGCCAAGATCCCCACCAGTCTTTTGAACAAACTTTATTGACCCGACCTGAAGAACACTAAAAACATATCATTTGCTTTCGGGTCTATTTTAAATTGGCTAGGTTTCATGTTTTCATTCTTACTGCCGCAATGCCCCAACACAATGTGGTTCCTTATCATTAACAGAGACCATTGCTATGATTGCAGTGAAGTGGTAAATGCACTGTAACACAGACATTACAAACATTACACATTGTGCTATCATGTCATGTAAACAACTGTTACAGTATGTGTGTTGAATGTCGAATGTAGCCAGATTTAGCAGTGATTTTGGATGTATTATTCTTACTTTGTAAAACACGACACGCACACTGCACAGTATTTACTGAATATGAGGCTGTTAAGGGACTATGCTACTGAGAGCCATGTTTTCTGCTATTTGGCAGTTGCACAGACTTCATATTTTTTTCCACTGTTACAATTCAATTCAAAGTTTTTGAAACTTTTTGGCAAACAGCCTGAAGTCAGTTTATTCAAAGACTTCCACAGAGTGGAACAAGTGTAAGTTTGATATTAGCCTGAGGCAACATATCAGGCTTCCTGTCTTCATATCATACATGTGCTGATTACAGGTCCTCAATCCAATAAAAGGTACATAACCTTTTAATTACTATTAGGAACGCTACCATACTCAGTATTAATACACATTTTAATGAAAATTGTACCACATCTGCCTTTGGCCAGAAAGTCCGATACCACAATCATATCCCTGAAAACACTTGATGAACATAATTGGTCCATTTTTAAATGTTGCAATACTCCCACTGGAAGTAGAACCATTAAGGACCACCAGAGGGCAGTATAACACCAGAACTGTACCCAGAACTGTAAAGACAGCAGGGTATATTGTACAGTACACATATACTTTACCTAACACTCTACCACATTTCTAAACAAAATAATGCAAGCGTAAATAGCAGATTAAATTCTCTAAAATGTAAAGCTCAGTGATCTTAAAAATCAGTGATTTATATCAAATGTCAAGAAAATTCATTTATAATATTCATATAAAAAAAGATGTGTGTGTACCTAATCTAATCTGTAATCTATTGTAACATAGTGTGTGAGCACGCATAATAGTGTAGGAGTTAGAAGTGAAATGTTGTAGGGATTTAATGTGATGAACCTCTCGGCTGTAAGACTCCAGCAAACAAGGAAATGACACAGATTCTTTGTTTTATGCTTTCCAAAAATGTGTTGGCTTCTGAAGCTTGAAGAGATTTCTGTATTTGTTTAGAGTTTTGCAGGATTGCTGAAATCATGGGAGATGGCGAAGTGTGTTGTTTCCTTTGGATAACACTGGATTAGAGCAATTTGTGCAACCATAGAGAAAAAGCTTTGTTATGTGAATCTGTTGGGACATACGTGCCAATGAGAATTAAACAATTTTCACAACTTAAAAGCACAACCCATGATCCAAATGTAATCAGTAGCGTAAAGTTATACTGCAATAACACTCCATGATAGTTACTAAATTGCCAAATATTACTGACTTAACTTCAGATGCAGCAATTATCAACATCATTTTATAATGGCCAATCTAAATCTCACATATATCCCTACAGTGGCTTTGCTTCTTGCTTTTGTCACAGAAATAACAGATGTCAAAATGACACCTAGGAGCTGGTGAGGAAATCACTCTGTTTTTCTGTTGTAGTTTTTTTTCAGTCTGGTTCAGTGGCCTTTCAGCTCAACTGAACTTCAAAGATGGTTTTACCAAGTAGGTCAAAGATTGTACAAATTAATCATTTACTAAATAACAGATAAAGATAAAAATGTGTGAGTAAGAACACACCTCAGCGCAGGGGTTGAGTTATTTATGAACGAAACTGTTGTAGAGCGGTAAATTTAGAACTGGTCACATGCCAGTGATATACAGCAGTTATACAATATGTTACTGACATAAAGAGGCACAACATGGTCTCACATGTTGTTCTTATGAATATTTAACTGACTGATTCATGACTGTGCATGCTAGCATGGTGACACAGACCTCACATAACACTGCTTGTTAAATGTAAGTTTTTCACCTACAATATACACCAATCAGCTGCAATATTAAAACATATAGATAGATATATATACACACACGAGATAGTTGCAGTTGTCCTTTTCAATTGTTTGACAGTCTATCACATGCATATTTCTAGTGCGTAATGTTGCTCTACTTCTACTTCTAAGCCTTTTTCAGTTCACAAGAAATGGACTAAGGTCAAAAGCTAATAAGGTAATTGCCATAACTGTTTGTCACCCCCAACACACACATACCTGGTTTAAGTCAACATATTGAAAAAAAACTTTAACAGACTCTTAAAGAAATGGTTCTTTCGTTTATTGAGATAAATGGAACGGAATAAAAGTATTACCATTAACATTTGGACTGAGTTAAAGCATCAAACACACATTTTAAAAAGTTCAGGTACACTAAATTTCCTACTAAAAAAGGATTTGACAACAATCCATATTGTAGGACTGCTAATCTGAACCTATGACTTATTGCACTTTATTGAGATGTAACCTGAGTGTTAAATTTATCCTCTTGTTTGGCAAACCAGATGAAACTTAGTTGTCAAGGCGCAAGATCTGTTGTCTGTCCTATGACATTGTATCTCAGCTCTCCTTGTCATTCATGCTTCATTACCATTACAAACTTACAGTAAAAAGGGAAGTACTTACAGTCAGGATGCACCATGAACTGATGGATTTTAGTGGCACACAAATAGTGTCAACTATAGGGACCTATAGATACATGGTGTGCATACATCCCATGAGGATTTCACTTAAGGCACAAGATGTGATGTGAACCTTCCCCTCCACAAACACACATCAGATTGTGTTACTTCATCCAGCTACAGGGAATCAACCCCAGTTTCTTTGTCCTTGTGGACAGCACCTTTAACCACTGCATCATCTGTACACCCCATTATAAAAAGGACACACTGATAAACCTGTCAAACCTGTCACAGCTATGCAGTATTTATTTAAAAACCCCTCCCTTGTTCACTGATTTACTCCCTATATAATAGACAATAGCTTAATCTATAGTGTTTTTCACTTATTAATCACTGTCATTTTGCTTCATCGCTGGCAGCTGTAGTGTCATTCAACTGTTAATTTTTGTATCTGTAAAATGCCAAGCAAAAATGACAGACAGTAAAAATACTGCCCTCTACAGTAGACGAGGAGTGACTCAGGACACAGACATTGCTTGCACCGTTTAGGTTGATGTCCATCCCACTGGTTTGTTACCATAGAGTAGCACCTTGGTACACAAGCCCAGTGAAGTGTAAAACCCTAACGACTTTAGGCACTTATTAAACATGATTCAGTTACTTAAATGTACTGACTGGTCAATTATCATTGCCAGAAATAATGACCCTTCCTGATGAGTTATTAGGTAATTGTAGAGATGTTTTTTCTTGTATATCTAATCCAGACACATTGCAGCATTATCATTTTCACTGGAAACATCATCTATTGTCTATTTTCAACCGGTGATCCTAAAAATTGTTATTCATCTGGGCAAAAACCACAGTGCAATATTCCTATTGTGTGGCTTGTGAATGGCTTCCCTCACATATTCCTCACTTTCTGTCACTGAACTGAGCAGCACTCTGAAACCACACCTTCTCCACCTGCTCCCTTCCGAGCTCAAAGAGTTGATGGAAGATGGAGATTCCCCTCTTTGATGAAATCATCAGATACTCTGCATTTTCCGGATGCAAGGTCACAGAGTAACGAGCTAACACCAAAGACTGGCAGAAGCGGGACAGCACCAGCACATAGAGACATTCTTTCTCCGCCTCTTTGAGAGGAAGTATGCTCTCCCAGCCCGCGAGGACCGGTCCACCCACCTCAATGGGGTTAGGATGCTCCGTCATCATGTACATGATATTGATGGCTAGCTCATGGATGTAGTAGCCACTGTTCATGTCCCCAAAGTCAAGGATGCCGGAAATCCTGTAGCCGTCACTCTCATCAGGCTGCACAAGCACATTGAGGTCATTGAAGTCGCCATGGTTAATGCCTGGGAAAAGAAATAAATAAAATGATGTTGATGGGAACTGAAATACATTATCACTCGCGTATTCAACAACATATCTGGTCTCTGATGACCGCACACAAGCCGCCAATGAGAACCATTTGAACAAAGCTGTGTCAAGGGAGGTGCATAGAGCAGAATGAAGGAGTATTTGTACGACCAGCTCCCTGGTGCACTGGTTTTAAATATATATGAATGTGATGAATAGAGGTGTCAAAAAAGTGCACTCATGCTCACCCTAAACAATTTCACTTTGACAGTGTAATAGTAATAAAAGATCATCTTTCACGGGAAAGCCAAAAGTATTTAGGAGAGAATCTAATGAGTGGATATCAAACTCACACTTGCGGAAATCGGGGCGTTTCGGGACCACAGAGGTCTTGTACTGATGAATGACGGACTTCACAATCTCCTGAAGAGGATCTCCATCTAATACATAGATGTATGCTTCCAGGAGGGTGAGATTTGACAGACTCCATATGAACTTCTCCCTCTGCAGCAAATTGAGATGAGGGTGTTCCATCTGGAAAGAAAAAAAAGAAAAGAAAAAAACAGTACAAGACATAAGTCAATTGTCAGTTGTGAACTGAAACCAAAACATATGTCCATAAATTAAGTTATGTGTAATAAAGTGGAATGATACAGGGAATAAATATTGAACACGCTTACTGAAATTTATTCATAACTTAGTAGAAAAGCCTTTGTTGGTAATGACAGCTTCAAGACGCCTCCTGTATGGAGAAACTAGTCACATGCATTGCTCAGGTGTGATTTTGGCCCATTCTTCCACACAAACTGTCTTCAAATCTTGAAAGTTCTGGGGGCGTCTTCTATGAACTCTGATCTTCAGTTCTTTCCATAGATTTTCAATTGGCTTCAAGTCGAGTGATTGACTGGGCCATTCTAGCAGCTTTATTTTCTTTCTCTGAAACCAATTGAGAGTTTCCTTGGTTGTGTGTTTGGGATCATTGTCTTGCTGAAATGTCCACCCTCGTTTAATCTTCAGCATCCTGGTAGATGGCAGCAGATTCTTATCAAGAATGTCTCGGTACATTTCTCCATTCATCCTTCCTTCAATTTTGTGAAGTCCTCCAGTACCATATGCTGAAAAACAGCCCCACAACATGATGTTCCCACCTCCACTTCACTGTTGGTATTGTATTTTTGGGGTGATGTATAGTGCCATTTCTCCTCCAAACATGGTGTGTGCTATGACATCCAAAGAGTTCAATTTTGGTCTCATCTGACCAGACTTTATTCTCCCAGTATTTCATAGTCTTATCCAAATGTTGTGCAGCAAACTTTCAACAAGCTTCAACATGCTTTTTCTTCAACAATGGAGTCTTGCACGGTGAGCGTGCATAGAGGCCATGGCGCATGGTGCATTACTTATTGTTTTCATTGAAACAACTGTACCTGCTAATTCCAGGTTTTTCTGAAGCTCTCTGCGAGTGGTCCTTGGCTCTTGGACAACCCTTCTGATTATTCTTTTGACTCCTCTGTCAGAAATCTTGCGAGGAGCACCTGGTCGCGGCCGGTTTATGGTGAAATGATGTTCTTTCCACTTCCGGATAATGGCCCCAACGGTGCTTACTGGAACATTCAGAAGTATAGAAATACGTCTGTAACCAATGCCATCAGTATGTTTTGCAACAATAAGGTTGCGAGGGTCTTGGGAGAGCTCTTTGCTTTTACCCATTATGAGATGCCCATTGTGTGAAACCTTGTTAATGAGAAACCTTTTTATAGGCCATCAACTAGGACTAAACCAGCTGATATTAATTTGCACTGATAGGGGGCATTTCACTTTATTACACCTAACTTAATTTATGGACATATATGTTTAGATTTCTTTGTATGTGTGGATTACATGGGTTGTTACCGACATCTGGTGACAATTTCATCTCAATAGCCCCATCAGAAATGTATTTACTGAGAAAAATTTGTTCAATACTTACTTTCCCTGCTGTATCTTACCTTATCTGAATTAGATACTGAAATAATGAACATATGGGTGAAACTTTAGTGGCTAAATGAACTGATTTAGTATTAATACATAGCAAAGTAAATGATCTCACAGTTTTGGAGTGGTGTCATGTTTATACCTCTTGCAGGATTTTGTCCATTCTGGCTGCTGTCTTCCCAGTTTCATACAGTAACTGTGGTGTTAAAGGAACCTTGGAAATAGTAGTTCCAGGCAAATAAGTCAACAGCCGCACCAGGTACTTCTGACAGCCATAGCCACAATCTGCCAAAGGCAAATTCATGGATTAGTATTACAGCAATTTCCCTCACCCCTCATAAAGTATGACCTGTATGTTGTGGCCTTGCTAACAGGAACACTCGTCATCACTTGGGTGTGTGTGAGTGAGTATTAATATTAAAGTGAAATATTTTCTTGGCTTGAGGCAGGATGTGTTAGTGTACCTCCTCCAAAAGTTAAGTAGCTCACCACTTATCTTTATGAGCTCTCTGAAACAGCATCTACACCGGGGGCCAATTCTAACTACTCAGCATGTTCACAATGCTCACAAACATAAGGATGTTGGACAATGTACAATATCCTATAGATATGTTTCTATCAAATGTCAAACAAGCTACATGTTGTAAATTGAAGATGCCGTTTACATTTACAACGTACATGAATAAATGCTCGTGCGGCAGGTGGTACAAGAACAGGTAAAAATACTAATTTTCCTCTCAGTGATCAATAAATATCATCACAGTATCGTATGGGAGTGTGGAAATAATACATTAAATAAAAAGCAAACAGCAGTACTTTAATTTCCAAATATTATGAACCCTTTACTTATAACACAGTGCATAATACAAAATAATTGGAATGGTAAATGGACTGCACTCTTTTCTAGTCTCGTCATCCACTCAAAGTGCTTTACACTATAAGCCACATTCACCCATTCACTCACACAGCACTTTTTCTATACATTCAGCGTTTTTTTTATCACACATACAAGACATCAGGGGCAATTCGGTGTTCAGTATCTTGCCCAAGGACAGACACTTCAACCAGCGGACTGATTGGGGGAGCTGGGGATCGAATCACTGACCTTCTGATGAGTGGACGACCCGATCTACCGCCTGAGCCACAGCTGCAACAACAATGCACCAACTCCCTAACAGTAACCCTAACCCTGCCATAAATTAATATGATTATGTAATGACGGTAATGTTGTACAGTTAAGCAGTAAAAAAAAACATTTATAGCCCATGGTATAACTAACTCTGGAGTTTTATGCGGCACACAAAAGATCATTCTGCCTATTTCTTTATTGACATCTAGACGACAGTTTACAATTTAATCAATTAAATTGTATGTCATTAAATTTCATCTTCATACATTTCCACAGGAGAGCAATAGCTTTGCAATTAATTGATATGATTGTATAAACAATAATGGCCACAGTCAAAATAATCTGGATGTAAGAGAGACGTCTGAATATTTAGCTGCAAAGCTCATGTGTATTTCATAAAGTCCTCCACTCAAAACCTCCAGCTGTTTCAGCTGAGAAGTGTTTTCATGCATGGATTGTTCTTATTTCTGGGGTAACTCCCATACATTTAAAAGGTTTCTTGCAATGCAAACTGCATGTTATTTTATGGGGGATTCATAAGTTAATGCTGACCGAGAAACTGCTATGAATAGTTTTGAAATCAATCAAAACAGAATGAATTGAATGTACACCTGGCTGACAAATACTGACTGTGAGGCTGCTGTGGAGGATGCTCTAACTACCTATGTGAATGCAATTTTAAGAAATAGCATATGACGTCTTCTATGAGGACATTTATCTTTGTGTTTGATGACATTATTTTTCAAGTCTGGATGGTGTGACTTGTCCCGTACCTATTTCTTCCAGACTCATGAGCTGTCCTGAGGCGGTGGGCAGGGCTGTCTGTGCAGGAAGACCGTTCTGGTGCAGGAAAGACATGGCATACGTCTGCACCTCAACCAGGTTAGGGTTCTTACTGTCTTCTGAGTTCATGATCTTCAGGACGTACTCGCCACCCTCCACAGGCGCCATGTAGAAGTTCTGGTCATCGTAGCTGGGTAAAGAGCGAATTTCTGATGGCGTCAGCTTGAACAGCCTCTTCACCATCTCAGACACTTGAGATTGACTGAAGTTGGGCTTGGCATGCTTCGCTGCCATCTGTGCTAGATAAAAAGATGTTAAAAAAGGAAAGAAAAAAGGTTTTTTAATACATAAATAGCACACATTCGTTAAGTCTAGCTTCTCCATTGTGAGAATTTGCAGCTTTTCTGTCTCTTATCATTAAAAACTAAATCCCTTTTGTTTTGCTTGCTCGTTTGTTTAGCTGTTTTTTTCTTCTTCTCTTAAATAAATACATCTTGAACTATGGGAACTTGTGATGGGAATCACAGAATCTGCACAGACATACCCACTACACACAAACGCACAGTGACAGTGTTATGGTTAAATATATCAATGGAGACACTCTGAGGCTAAATAAATAGCAAGTTTTCCTGATGTATGCGCTGCTCCGCGTCAGTAACAGCTAGGGAAGTGCCGTCAGCACTTATTTAATTGTAGCATCAAACAGCAGCTACGTGAGAAAATATTCATCATTAATGGGCACATCTTTGTGGACCTACCTCAGGCTCAGGCTTTGAGAAAGCACCAGGGGAATGATAAGAAGGTAACACGCTACGCTGCGTGTCCACCGGAGACACTAGTAGAGGACGTTCTTCTTCTTCTTCTGATGAATTGGGGGCAGGCGTTAGGCTGCACTGAAAGGCGTAATGCTGCCCTCCACTGGCAACAATTCACTTATCCTGTATTTTTGAATGGAGAAATTTTAAGACTGCTCTACCAATAAAATGGGGATTCTTTTCAAATGAAAAAAAACGATTTGAAAGACAAAAATTTAAGACCCAGATGTGACAACTCCCTGAAACTGTTGCCTTTCACATATGTGTATGTTACATGAGAATACAACATGCTGGGCTGATTCCAAATTTCCATACTGACCTAGACCGCCTGGATGTTTGCCTACGACTTTCAAATAGCTGGCTACAGACCACAATGAAGAATGTCCCAGTCTCAGCCTAGTTAGAACACCATCCCTCCCTCCAGAGTTTATCTTGAGCCTCTTTCTTTAACAAATGGCTGCAGAGAGAAATAAAGCTGACCCCTCTGCTCTTCTTTCCACTCTCTTTTCCAAGCTCTTATTGGTCTTTGCAAATGCAAATTTTCACAACAGAACCGTCAGATCAACAGTTTCGCTTAACAGAGATTTTTTAGCCAATTTGTCAAAAACTTATCCATAAAAAGCCAAAGTTACATGACAATCATGATCCTCAACAAGCGGCGCAAAATCTCATGGAATAGGTCTGGGCAGGCCCCCGGGATGTCCCATCTCTCAAAACCAACAAGGCAGCCACAGAATCCAAACAGATGATACTTTTAAGGAGGTTTGACCAGCTCTTGACCAGCCACCATATGGCCCATAAACTTGCCAGTATAGCTCAGCAAAAAAAAAACAAACAAAAAAAAAAAAACAGGCAAATTGATGTGTGATGAAGATATACAGATGCTCTGCTGGATCTGCAGATTAATCACATCCCTAGCACCTAGCACAGTCTTCCCAGAGGCCGAGTCCTTTGATCCATTGGTAAAAAATCTATATATGCTCCCTCTGAAATTAATTTACATATTTATAAACATGACAACATGGAAGCTTTCTATTACACACCTGAACAAGCAAAGCTAAATGTAGAGGTTCAGGGAGAAACCAGAAAGGAAGAGGGGACCAGGCAGACCCAATCACATTATCTTGTTCAAGGCCAGTGTTTATATTTTTTATGAGGTGAAAGAAATTCGACTTTCTCTCATTACCTATAAATTCCCAGTGATCCTCCAGAAGACATTTTCTGCATAGCTGCATTAAGGCTACTTAACTTAAACCAGTGGTGGAGCTCCAGTTTGTTTCTCCTGATTCTCAAAGCTTATTCCCCCATTTCCACAAGTAAGACTTGTATAGGCCTCATTCTAAAAGCTCCACATCAAATTCTTAGGACCTTTGTCTGGACCTGATCCAGTTTACTAAGAATAGATGTAGCAGCTGACCCAAACACAACACACACATAGTCGAAACTAGATCTGATCATGGCTCGATAAATCATGAGCAAAGTGTCTCTCTCAGCCCCCCTGACAACTTCCACTTCCAGCTAAACTGTAAAGAATATTATTTACTCTCTCACACTCACGCACATATGAGTTTTTCATTTTAGCTTTTCATTCATCCACACACACAGAAATTTAATGACCTCCACTCTATCTAAGTGACACTCAGTGACACATGGAAAGATTTGAAGCAGGCATTTTCTTCTTGAGGCCAAAGATCATAGGTTTACTTACAGAAGTGGAAATCCTAAATCCCCACTGATCAGCCCACTGAACAACCTGCTCGAAGGCCTTTTGAGTTTGAGAGAACAAATGACCAACATTTTTCCTTACGGTGCTATCATCTGCAAAGTAAGACCTGCCAACCTTGGTGAACTTTTTGAAAGATGCCATTTATCTTTTTTGAAAGATGCCCAAATTCTAGCCTGAATAGATCTATGATTCATCCAATAAAAATTCTGCCATTTACACCTGCATTATGGAGTTTAATAACAGCACCCCCTCTCCATATGGACTCATACGCTTTTTCAATATCCAAGAATACCCCAGATACAGTTTTGTAGTTGCTTTCTTAATATCCAGGTCTAAAATTGCAATAGAATATTTAATACATTTTATAAGATATGGATGTTAAAAAAAACAAGAGGGATGTAGGGGAAACTAACATTTGGTTGTTTTAAATGCACAAAGAGAAGCAAAAATCAATAAAGTGTCTGGAGGTTTTGTTCATTCTTTTTTTCAAAAATAATTTGCTCATCATTTTAGTGAGAACGGTAATTGATGACAGAAATCCCCCATTTTAAGACAGAATACAGATATTTGCATCTCATGCTGGCCTGTTAAGGCAGATCTTTTTTTCATCTAAGAAGCAAATTAACTAGACATGAGTAACTACAACATTTGGCTCCAATCACCTGAGTTTGCGCAGGCAGACGAGCTGAACTTACATTTCCACTTATAAAGCCTCTATATTTCCTCCAGCAGTGTCTGGAGATGAGTTGTGTCCTTGAGTTGCAGATCTCAGGTTGAATTGACTATTCTGGCATTTGCTCACGATCCTGTTCTCAACCACTTGTGAATTTCATTTGGCAGAAAATACAGGCCTCAGTGTTTTCCCTGCAGGTCAGACAGACTTCTTTGTGGATTTGCTCACATTACACTCATTTCACTGCTAAAATAAAAGTATTGCTTTGTGGAGCTTTAATTATCGACTAAGTACTTTGTTAAGGTTAGGGAACGATTTTTATGGTTAAAAGAAAACCCACTCGACTTTTTTGCTTCGGCACTGAATGCTGACATACTGTAGTACTGTAGCTCATTTTAACAGTCTCATAAGAGGTCAGTTCAATAGACAGATGGCCACTGAAAGCTTAACACCCACTTAGCACGTTCATGTAAACATGTTCACATATGGTCAGCAGCAAATAACACTATGGATATATACATTTATATCATGATATGGACAATACATATATTGTTTGTGTGTTTGTCTGTGTGTGGGAGTGTGCATGTTGTTGAGCTGAATGGGGATGTTTTTCAACATGGGCAGATGTGTGCATCTGTCTGGGAGCGTGTGTGTGCATTAATGCTGAGCAACATTTCAGCAATCTACATTTTCTTATCACAGCTCCCACACTGTGCCGACTGCCTGTGCAGCTGGATCCTGGGGTTCAGTGGCCACAAAGGCGTCTGCAGTCATCCTGTACCACCTGTCACAAAGCGTTTCCCCCAACACCAACAGCTGGTCACCCAGTACTGAAGCTGCTTTTGTCACTGTGTGAGCCAGCCTTCCTATCATAGCTATAATATCTTCAGTTTATCCTTCTTCATTCCTCTTTACCCAACTGAGCGCGTCTGTAATCTCTGTGCACTACATTGACATTTATATTCCCTTTTTAAAGATTTCATGGATTACAGCCTCAACAGAGCTTTTTCTGGCTGTTTTTATGAAATGAATGGTCTTCAGACACAAAACCTAAGGAGCATAGCTACCATAAAAGTAGTGTTTTATAGACACCAGGCAACACTATGAAATTGCAAAAAAAATTTAACTGAATTACAAACAGAAATGTAATAGCCTTAAAATACAGTATGTTTGACAAAAATAAATAAATAGATAAATATATAAGGAGAATAAAAACTTTTTTTTTTTTCCACTCTCCATAGATCTTTTACTTAGATATCCATTGGATATGGTACTATGATTGTTATACTTTAGGACAGAGGAGCTTCACAGCAGATAGCTCATTCTCACATAATGTAAATGCAGAATATCAGTTCAGATCATGGTGGATCGCCTGTGGCACACATGTGTGAGTGGTTTTCCTGACAGTAAATCAGTTCTACAGAACTAGTATCTTGCCTTTGCATTCAGCTGTAGCTGTTGATGCACACCAGAGGGATGTTCATTCCGTAAAGGAAACTCAATTAGCAATAAAGACAAGATGAGCACTGTAGGATATATCATATGTGTGATGGTTACACATTCTGGGGGCATCATGAAGGCTGAACACACACACTGTGCCTGTATGGACTGGCTGTATGTTTGGGTTTGGGGGATTCATTATGAACCATCCACTTAGACTAACAGTCTATACTGTACTGTCTACAGTTATACTGTATATCATCTTATGTCAATGCATCAAAAGTCATGGTTGTGAAGTGCTCAGCATGTTTTCAAGATCCCCAATGTGATTTATGCAATATCAGAAATAATTGTCTCGTCTCGTCTCGTCTCGTCGTCTCCCGCTTATCCGGATCCGGGTCGCGGGGGCAGCAGCCTCAGCAAAGAGGTCCAGACGGCCCTCTCCCCAGCCACTTCCACCAGTTCCTCCGGGAGAATCCCGAGGCGTTCCAAGGCCAGCTGCGAGATATAATCCCTCCAGCGTGTCCTTGGTCGGCCTCGAGGTCTCCTCCCGGTGGGACATGCCCGAAACACCTCCCCGGGGAGGCATCCAGGAGGTATCCTCACCAGATGCCCGAACCACCTCAACTGGCTCCTCTCGACATGGAGGAGCAGCGGCTCTACTCCGAGTCCCTCCCGGATGACCGAGCTCCTCACCCTATCTCTAAGGCTGAGCCCGGCCACCCTGCGGAGGAAACTCATTTCGGTGGAATAATTGGTTTTTCAGAAGAAAAAAAAAAAAAAAAAAAATTTCATATGATGTGACTTGTTCCTTCTGCTTTGCGTTTGTGATGAAAATATACAGTGCAATGTACCTACACAAAAGTACGAGGCCACGTCATCCTCCTCCCTCTGTGATTCCTGTCTAATTTCAAAGAACAAAAAAAAAAGAAAAAGAAAAATGTTGCTAGGTATTTTCATGATGTTAATAAAATTTAAATAAATGAAAACAAACTGGCGTAGGTAGAATGTATTCCCCATTTGTCACCAGAGCTTCATTGTGTCAGTGGAAAACATTTCAAGATTTCATAACTTTAAGTGCTGCAACCTATCCTGTAGCTGCAGGCTGAAAAAAAATAAGAAAAAAAAGGTATCAAATCAATTCAAATTAGCGAACAAGAGCTAAATGTGAGGTTCACTTAAAAATGACT